TGATGACGGTTACATTATGGTGAAGCCTACGCTGACGGCGGTGATGCTGATGATGAGTCTGAGGATACTGATTGTGATGATGATGCTAATGATGCTGATGATGATGGTGACGATGGCGATGCTGCTAATGATAAGCGTGCTTATTATAATTCTGCTGATGTTGGTACCTGTGGTGGTGATGGTGGTAACGATGATGCTGTTGTTGATGGTGATGCTGTTGCCGATGATGGTGCTGATGACGATGTTCATGATGATGTATACTATGATGCCGGTGGCAACGACGACGATGATGCTGATGCTCATGGTGATGGTGATGTTGATGGTGATTATGATGATGATGCGAATGATGTTGCTGCTGATGATGATGATGATGATGATGATGATGATGATGACGATGATGGTGATGATGATGATGATGATGATGATGATGAGGATGATGATGATGATGATGATGATGATGATGGGGAGTGATGGCTGTGTCGAGGATGGATAGTGTGATATTCATGATTGTGATGAGACGCTGATGCTGTTGATTGTGGTGGAAACGATGGTATCGACTGTGAGGATGATGAGGATGACGATGATGGCGGTGATGCTGATGATGGTGATGATGATGGTGATGATGATGATGATTCTGATAGCGATGATGACGACGATGATGATGTTGATAAGTGTGATGACGGTGATGGCGGTGATGATGCGGCGGGATTCGACGAAGAGGTGGATGAGAATGAGGGTGAGGATCAGGATGAGGATGATGATGATGATGAGGATGATGATGCTGAACATGATGATGCTGATGATGCTATCACGGATGCTGAGTGTGGTGATGCTGATTACGAGCGCGAGGGTGATGCTGCTGCTGCTGATGGCGGTGGCCGCGATAATGATGATGCTGATGCTGATGATGATGGTGGTGGTGATGATGATGAGGATGATGATGATGGTGATGATGGCATGATGGTGATGATACTGACGGTGGTGATGCTGATGCAGATGTTGATGCTGATGATGCGGATGATGATGACGGCGATGCTGCTCATACTATGCATGTTACTTTCATACTGGTCAGGTTGATACCTGTGATGGCGCTGGTGGTAATGATGATGCTGTTGTTGATGATGATGCTGTTGCTGATGATGGTGCTGACCACAATGTTGATGATAACAATGATGACGACGACACCGACAACGCCGATGATGATGCTGATGCTGATGATGGTGGCGACGATCATGACGATGGCGATGTCTATGATGATTGTGATGGTGTTTCTCCTGCTGCTGCTGATGCTGGCGGCGAAGGTGATGAGGCTTTGTATCATGCAGCTGATGAGGACGTGGGCGATGGCCTTATTGATTTTTGTTCTATTGCTGATGGCGGTAGGGGTTACGATGTTGATGCTGATAGCGCGGGTAATGATGATGACTAACGCGATGCTGATGAAGCAGATGATGTTGAAGATGATTATGTTGTTGATGCTGCTGCGGATGTTGGTGATGATGATGATGCTGCTGATGAGTGTGATGATGATGATGATGCTGATCATGATGAGTGTGATGGTGATGGTGACGGTGACGACAGTCTAGTGATGCTGACTATGAGGGTGGTGGCGACGACGGTGAGGATGGTGGGACGCTCAATGCACCGACATGCTCCTGTTCTTCAGGCTGAGGCGTTTTGGTGCCTGGGGTATCTGTGGGGAGTCTCTGTTAAGTCTTTCAATTTTTGTCGGAACCTAAACCCGACTATCTTCCAGCGTCTGAAGGGGGGTGCGGGTGGGGGCCATATACTGCTCTTGGCTAGGGTGGCGGAACCTGCCGTGCCTGCGATCTGTTGTGGAGCGTGCGGCAGCTTGGCGTTGGCGAATGCTGACAAGCTGCTCGAACCCTGCACGAATCCAAATCTGTCATCAGAGAAATCAATTCCTTCGTCTTCTTTTGCCTTGACGCGTTTCAGGCTGGTGCAATCCTTTCTCATCTCTGTCCTTCCCTTCTTGCATCTTACTTCTTTTGCGCCTTATTCTTCCTCCTTGGTTGTCCCAGTCTGGAGACTCTTTCTGTGCTAGGGCGTATGCCGTTCATGTAATGGTTCGGCGCCTCAGAGGTATGTGCGGTCTGCGAGGTTTGCGGGGCAGAGGCCGAACAGGAGGATGAGGCGGCGGAGGATAGGGTGGGTGGGGTGGTGGGGGGTGGTGGGAGGGGTGAGGGTGAGAGAAGGAGGAGGAGAAGGAGAAGAAAAAGGAGAGGGACGACGAGGAGAAGGAAGGAGGATAAACATTCAACAACGAGGTGAATGAGGATGAGGATGAGGATCAGGATGATCATGAGGATGCGGATAAGGATGATGATGATGACGACGATGCTGATGATGCTGACGATGCTGCCGATGATGATGATGACGAAGCTGATTCTGATGATGATGCCGATGATGAGGATGATGATGATGATCATGCTGATGCTTAGACTGCTGCTGCTGATTATAATGATGATGATGGTTATGCTGATGATGATGCTGATCATGATGATGATGATGACGTTAATGCTGATTATCATGAT